ATTTATTACTATGTATTTCAGGTTTGGTGCTACTATAAATGGAAATTTTTTTTCAACTTTATTTTCCAACTGTTGCTGCTAGTACGCAGAAATACAATTCATTGTTTTGTATATTGTCCTTCTATCTTGTGACCTTGCAAAGTTTACTTATTATATTCAGTGGTTGCTTTTTAGATTCTTAAGGATTTTTCATGTAAACAGGCATGTCATATGCAAAGAGAGACACTTTTACTTTTACTTTCCTATTTCATACCTTTTTTTAAACCTTGTTTCATTGACTAAAACCTCCAAGTTTATGTTGTTGAATAGAAGTGGTAGAAGTGTACATTCTGGCCTGTTCTGACAATTTCTTTGTTTTAATTGGAGGATGTAGTCAATTTTCAGTTAACTATCATTATCATTCAATCAAGGTTTACTACTTATCTATTTGCTTTCTATTCATCCTAATTAGTGTTTTTCCTTTCCTGACATTTTTTTTTTTTTGGTTTAATCAAATGTTCTTAGAATTCCATTGTAATTAAACTGTTGACATTTTAGGTATAATTTCTGAACTTTTTAATGGTTGCTCTATGGATTACAATATACATTCCATAACTTATCACAGTCTACTCAAGAGTTAATATTTTTCTACTTCGGGTAAAATGTAATTACCCCACAAACAATTTCATTCACCTCATACTGTCCTTTGTACTATTGTTGTCAAATGTGTTATATCTACACACATTACAAGCTGCACCATGCAATGTTACAATTTTGTTTTTAATTAACTTTAATAAATAAAGAAGAGAGAAAATATATAGTCTTTTTAATTTACCCACATAGTTACCAGTTGTTTAATCACAATTATACTCAGTGAGGGGCAACCTAGTGGGTGGAGGACAAGGATGCTGCTAAACATCCTACAATGTAGAGTACAGCCCCACTGAAACCAAGAATTATCCAGCCCAGAATGTCAACAGTGCCAAAGTTGAGCAACTGGCTTGAGATAAGAGGCATTATTTTTATCTGATGGCTTTCAAGATAATTTCTTTATAACTTTGGTTTTCAGCATATTAACTGGTGTGCCAACATAATATTTTGTTTTTACTTATCCTGCTTTGCAGGGGAGTTCTCTGACTCTGTTAAATCTGTAAGGTTTTTAAAGCAAACATGGGGAATGTTTTATCATTATTTTTTCAAATATTTTATGCCCAATTATCTTTCTCCTCTCCTTCTGGGACTCAATTACACTTATTTTAGACTGCTTTATGTTGTCCCGTAGGTCCCTGAGGATCTGTTTATTGGTTTTCAACCTCTTTCTCTCTGTTCTTCAGACTGAATTATTTCTTTTGACTTGTCTTTACATTAATTGAACCTTTTTTCCTGCTTTCTCCAAACTTCTACTAAGCCCATCCAGTGTATTTTGTTTGGTGGATACTGTACTTTTTAGTTCTAGAGCTTTTTTTTTAAGTTTGTATTTCTTCCTGAAATTTCCCATCTGTTCATTTTTACTTTATTTCCTTTAAGTCCTGTTTATAATAGTTGTTTATAATAGTTGTTTTAAGTCTTTGTCTACTAATACCAACATCTGGTTCATCTTGGGGTCAGTTTCTATTAATTGCTTATCCCCTTAATTGTGGGTCACATTTTCTTGTTTTTTCAACTTTCTAATTATTTTTGTTTACTGAACATTGTGGATGATATATTCATAGATGCTACGGATTGTGTAACCTTCCTCTGAAGGTTGTTGATCTTTGCTGAGAAGGAGTCAACTTTTATGAACTCAAACTCCAAACTACCTCCTCTGTGCTGGAAAGGAACTGAATCTCTTCATGGTTCTTTAGCCTTCCATCTGTTGTTTGCCACCAGGTCCCCTGGAGTCCCCTCACACAAAGTTCAAAAGTCAGTCAAGTGTACTTGGGCTGAGTTTACACAGAGATTTTTCTGAGATTTCCCCCTTATTTTCCAGCCTTGCTAACAGTCCTGAACTCTGTCCTCTGACTCCATCAGCTGGTAAGACTGCATCTTTCTGCATAGGCTGGCAGTGGGGTGGGATTGTGTTAGGCAAAAAGCCACAGAAACATAAATCTCATCCAATGCAGTTTCCCTCTTTTAAGGACTGGCTCCCCTTCAGTTTCTGCCTGCTTTTGGTCATTCTTCAGGGTCTTCAAATGTTTTTGTTTCATATTTGATACAATTTTAATAACCGTTATCTGCAGGAGGGATAATCTGATACAAGTAGCTTCACCAATACTAGAATGCCAATTAGGATTTTTTTTTTTGCCCTACGCGGGCCTCTCACTGCTGTGGCCTCTCCCGTTGCGGAGCACAGGCTCCGGACGCACGGGCTCAGCGGCCATGGCTCGTGGACCCAGCTGCTCCACGGCATGTGGGATCCTCTCAGACCGGGGCACGAACCCGTGTCCCCTGCATCGGCAGGCGGACTCTCAACCACTGCGCCACCAGGGAATCCCGCCAATTAGGATTTTTAAATGTGATAGTTTTATTAGAAATAAAGAGTATTATATCATCTATATTTTGACATAGCCATCTCTCCTAATCCTCATGCACAGTTGCTAGTACAAAGCAAACAACCAAACAGTTTCTATAAGACACTACTTTCATGCCTGAAGAAATTTCTCCATGGTATAATGAAAAGAATGTGGATTTTGGAATCAGAGAAATCCTTTACTAACTGCATAAACTTGAAAGTTTATTTACCCCTTATGCTTTTCCACTTGTATTATGGAAGTGGTCATTTAGATATCACAAGATTGCTAAAAAGATCAAATGTTTATATTATAAAGCATATAGTAAATGTTGAAAACAAACCTTGGTTTCTTTTCCTTGGACCTTTTCCTGCATTCTAACAGTGGAAACAGAAGGAATTCCTAAAGTATGACCAACTTTTACTAGTTATTCAATTGGTAACATTTAATTAAGTTTAGGTTATAAGAATGAAAGAACATAAGGAGAGAAAACAACATGAACAAGCATGAGGAAACAGCAGGGAATGTCCAAGGAGACACTGAATCAAGGGAGGATGCACACCTCCACAATTTCTCTGGTTAAGCAAGTGAAGAGGCAGGAGGAAGGCTGGCAATGCAAAGGCATCTTTATCACAGAATTTCTCCATGAGTAAATGGGAAAGGTTTTTCTATGGATATAAGTATATAATAAAACACAGTAATCTAACAAGCAAAACGGCTAGTGAGAAAAGCAACACAAATTTCGAAAATGAAAAAGTATAAAAATAACTTTTAAAGCTTAAATCACACATTTAAGTATTTTTAAAAATTTATTGTGCTTCGTCTTGTTTATGAAAGTAAATTTTGTTCCTTGTAAAAAAAAAAACCCAAAAAATTAGAATTGCACATGACTATATTTTATAAATTTTTGAGATTAAAAATAGATTATGAAAATTTACCATGTGTTTACACATTGTTTTACATGATTTTTAATATCTGCATTATATTTCCTGATAAAAATATGACATAATTTGTTTATTCAGTCTTATAGATTGTTGGAAATTTAGGTTGTTTCTAATTTTCACAACTATAAATTATTCATAAATGATTTTACACATCTCTGATAACTTCTTTGCCTTTTGTCACCTGTAAATATAATCAGCATATAATTAATGTTCTCATCTAAGTCATTACTTAAAATGTTAACAAATAAGGGAACAATGATGGAGTTTTATGAAACACAGAAGAGAATGCCTTCCAAATTGCATCAATTCATGATTACTGTTCCTTAAATATAGGTATGTTGCTATCTAATTGCATCATCTTCCAATTCATATTTCTCCATCTTTTCCACAGGTATGTAAGAGACTTCATTATATCCAGCTTTACCATTTCTACAGAATCCATTTGACCTGGGTTTCTAGTATCCCACCATAAAAGCATAATCAGGCATCAATTGTTCTAAGTGAATTTGCATAGGTTTTCTTTTCTAAGTTTATTAGAGACAGATGTAGCCAACACAGCTGCTCTAAGAAAAGCAAAGTGGAGGTATTGCTCCCCCAGACAGGAAAGAGCTGAGAAGGTGACTGCTCTGAGAAATAAGAAAGAATCAGAATTGTTGATTATAAGACTCTCATGATTACATAATCACATACTACTAACATGATATACACTCTTAGCTTAAGCCACTAAGAATAAGCTGAAGGAGAAAAGGCCAAAGCGAAATGGACATATTTAAGTAATGACAAAGTGTGTCTTTTGAATGTAGTACTTTTTTTTTTTTTTTTTTTTTTTTTTTTGCGGTACACGGGCCTCTCACTGTTGTGGCCTCTCCCATTGCGGAGCACAGGCTCCGGACGCGCAGGCTCAGCGGCCACGGCTCATGGGCCCAGCCGCTCCGCGGCATGTGGGATCCTCCCGGACCGGGGCACGAACCCGTGTCCCCTGCATCGCCAGGCGGACTCTCAACCACTGCACCACCAGGGAAGCCCTGAATGTAATACTTTTAATGTTATTGATTGACTGATTGTTTTAAGAGTTAGCATAATAGTGCTAGTTATGATCATATCTCTACATACACAAGCGGTGGGGAAGAACAGAGGCATTTCCTTGGGCTTCTTAGGTAAACCAGATGTCAGCAGAGTTTTTCTGTAAAGAGCCAGAGAGTAAATATCTGATCCTGTGGGCCACACAGTACCTGTTGTAACTACTCAACTCTGCCGCTGTAGCACAACGCACCATAGACAACATGCAAATAAATGGATGTGGCTGTATCCCAGTAAAACTTTATTTACAAAACAGGTTGTGGGCTGGATTTGCTCTGTCATTTGCTCACCACTGGTGTAAACAATGCAATGTGAATATCTAGGCAAAATCATACTTAGCAATCTTCTGAACATGTCCTAAAATTCCAAATGGCAAGCAAGAAATATTGTATAGATCAGTGCAATTTTAATTCCTTATATTACAAGAATCACATTTTCATATCCAGTGAACTCAGTATATAGTTGAAGCAATTTTTCTATATATCATCAAAACCTGAGATTCATGTACCTGTGCATAATCACCAAAAGGTTGAGAGTAAGCAATGCACGTCTCCAACGTGTGTTGCGATTCATTTCCCTGAGAGATTGCATCCAGAATGTTGCTTGCAATTCCAGTCTTCTGTAGAGTGATTTTACTTGCAGGGGCTTAAGGCAAAATCAATACATATATTTCAGTTGGCTGGTTTTATTATAAATTACAGAGTACAAAACCCGTTAATTCAGCATATTCTCAAATAGAACACAAATTTTAGTTTGCCAGTAAATATCTACATTTATTATTCCTGAGGGAAAAATATATAGTATGTGATATGTGTCTCACTTGTTTAAAACAATGAAAATGGAAGCCTGCCCTATGGGTAAATGATCTTGATGGAAACATTTAAAAAGTATATGTCTAATCTCTGAAATAAGGCATACGAAATGTAAATTAACCGTTCTTATTTATGCAATAGTTGTAACCATCAGTTTTTAGATCAGATAAAAATACAGTAGGCATACCAGAAGCACATTAAACTTTTTTCTGGCTTTAAAAATGTTTTTAATGTTTAATTACAAATTAATTAATTAATTACAAATTAATGTTTTGGTTCAAGAGGATACTTCATAAAATACAAAGAATGTATACTAAAAACAAAATTTATCTTTCACGTCTTTTCATTCAATTCTATTCTTTTTCCCAGACGTAACAGTTTAGAATTAATTTTCTCAGATTTACTTTATGCATTTACACATTCAAACACATGCATATAAGAATACATAGCTTTAAATAAACATAAATGGAATCATTCTATGCACACATTTGCTTCTTCCACTTAACCATTTGCTTTAGAGATCATTTCATATTAGTACACATAGCACTCCCCTCAATTATATATTCCATTTTATGACAAACTATTTAACCATTCCCCTATTGATGACCATTAAGGCACTTTCCAATGTTTCACTATTGAAAACCGATGTTATAGTGAATATCTTAGTGCCTAGAGCACACCACATTTGTGATTTTCTCTTAAAACTATATTTGAATTAATAGTTTTAATTTACTAATTGAAGGCTTGAGGAGGGCCTCTAAAAGAGTAAACGAGAATTCCACTTCTGCCGATTATTAGTAACTAACATATTGGGGGGTATTTGGCAAATACTCCGGCTATATTAGATTCCATAGAGGTTTAAACTTCATATTTTAGAAATATGATTCTATATATATTGTAAAGAATTATAGTATTGTCAAATAATTCCTTAATCCAATTATTTTCAATCATGATTCCATAAAATTCAATAAATTGATTATATGTTTAATAACATATTATAAAAGATGTTTTCCTTAAATAAAATAGAATGCATTTTAAAAGCTTTAATTTAGTTATTCTTTCAATCTATGGGACTAGGGTCGTAACACGGGGTTTAACTGGTTAATACGCATTATTTGCTTCCATTAAGTTAAAAATTAAAGTAAAACTCATTATGAAAAGTATTCAATAAAACTCCAAAATACTGGGCTTCCCTGGTGGCGCAGTGGTTAAGAATCCGCCTGCCAATGCAGGGGACACAGGTTCAAGCCCTGGTCCGGAAAGATCCCACATGCTGCAGAGCAACTAAGCCCATGCGCCACAACTACTGACTCTAGAGCACACAAGCCACAACTATTGAGCTAGCGAGCTACCTACAACTGTGGAAGCCCACGCGCCTGGAGCCCGTGCTCCGCAACAAGAGAAGCCACCGCAATGAGAAGCCCGTGCACCACAGCGAAGAGTAGCCCCCGCTTGCCGCACCTAGAGAAAGCCCCCCGCGCAGCAACGGAAGACCCGATGCAGCCAAAAATAAATAAAATAAATTAATTAAAAAACAATAATAATAATTAAAAAAACTCCAAAATACTAATACTGAGCTCTTACTTACATGATAAGCACACACTGGGCAACACACTTGCTAAGTTCAAGTATGGATTTTTACTGAGCCGAATTTCTTTCGGTGGTTCTCCCAAGAGTGAAGTCTGATTCTTAGAGGCAGCCTATTTATCAAAAACAAGAGAGTGGGTGCTTAATAAGAGGTACAAGAAAATAAAAATGCAGGAAGAGTAGAGAAATACTTGTTCTTCAATAAATCTGGTCTAGTATGATAAAAATTTGTGAAACCTAATGTTTGAAGCTATAAATTTGTGAAATATTTCTGGATACTGATTAAATGATCACATTTCACCTACTATTTTTCCAATTAGTTTTAAAAAGCTTTTCTAGAACCACAGAACTTTAGAACTGAAAGAGAACTAAAGGCCATCTTGTACAACCTTCTCATTTGAACCAGGAGAGAATTCATGTTCACGAGAACAAATCCCATACCTTATCTTCAGAAATACTATCATCAACGTTTACTTATTAAGATATTTACTTAATATTTGGCCACAGCCATATGACAAAGGCAAAGTTTATTTATCTCTGGTATTAAAAATAATACCAAATAAAATAAATGGCTTTAATAAAATCCAATTCAACATTTAGATGATAACCCTAGAAATTCATATTTATTGAAAATATATGATATCAGTATATATATACTTAAACTTATTTATTTTTTGCTGCATTGGGTCTTCATTGCTGCACGCAGGCTTTCTCTAGTTGTGGCATGTGGGATCTTCCCGGACCAGGGCTCGAACCCATGTCTCCTGCACTGGCAGGCGGATTCCTTAAGAATCTACCAGGGAAGTCCTGATATCAGTATATTTTTATATAACTAGGTGTAAGGGTTCTAGTATTTCTTTAACAGAAAAATGAGACAAAATCATGGGCTGATTCTTCAGTATATTTCATATTATTCTGCCAGAATTTTTACTTTTCACTCTAGGATGGTAAAGATTTTAAAATAAGACACAATTCAGGTTGGGTTAATGCTAGTAGCTATGTTTTCTTTTAAATTAATTTTTATTTTGTTCCCTGAACAGAATGAAGAAAGCATAATCTCAAGAGCTTCTTTCTATATTTGAGAGCCAAAGCTCCTTACATTTGTTCCTTATCTGGCCAATATTATTGTATTTAGACAGAGGAAGCTGTTTCGTACATCTTCATAAGCCACCCCAAAAGTCCACATTTGCTTGTGATATGTAAATCACAGATGAAGATGTATTCATTCATTCATATGTGTATACTGAATACTTACTATGCTCTAGCCATTGTGGTAAGCATTGGTAATACTAAAATGGGTAAGACGGGTACTATCCTTAAGAAATTCAGTCTAGTAGATAAGATAGTTCAAGAGAAGTCTAAGATGGAACCATAAGGTTACAAATGGGAGCTGAAACCATAAGATATATGCCAAAGGAAAGCATATAGCATGAGAAGGGACAGAACCCTAGAGAAAATCCAGTGATTGAGTAAAGGAAAGGTAGCCAGCAAAGAAGTTTCTGATTTTGTTTCTAAAGTACTCAAACTGCTAAAGTAATCAGATTATATCCATAGCAGGGATTCTCAGCTCTAGCTATGCATGAGAATCACTTTAAAAACTGAAAAATTAAATAAATAAATAAATAAATACAGAGTCTCTCAACAAAGAAAAGTCATGGACCAAATGGCTTCACTGGAGAATTCTACCAAGTTCTACAAGGAATTAACATCAACCCTTCTCAAACTCTTCCACAAAATTGAAGACAGAACACCTCCTAACTCATTCTATGAGACCAGTATTACACTGGTACCAAAGCCAGAAAGACACTACAAGAAAACTACAAAACAATATCCCTTATGAATATTGATGCAAAAATCATCAACAAAATACTAGCAAACCAAATTTGGCACATTATTAAAAGGATTATACACCATAACCAAGTGGTATTTCTTCCTAGAATGCAAGAATGATTCAACATACAAAAATCATTCAATGTAATATACCCCACTAACAGATTGAAGGAATAAATGCATGATCATCTCAATTAATGCAAAAAAAGCATTTGACAAAATTCAACACACTTTCATGATTAAAATTAAACACTTTCAACAAACAACTAACAGAAGGAAACTACCCTAACATAACAAAAAGCCAACATTATACTCAATGGTGATCTTGTTCTAAGATCAAGAAAAAGCAAATATACCTGCTTTCACAACGTCTGTTCGATATAGTATTGGAAGTTCTAGCCAGAGCAATTAGGCAGGAAAAAGAAAAATAAAAAGCTTTCAAACTGAAAAGGAGGAAGTAAAATTAGTTCTCTTTGCAGGTGACATGAAAATCCTAAGGATTACAAACACACACACACACAAAATGTTAGAACTAATAAAAGAATTTAGCAAAGTCGCAGGACATAAAATCAACATGCAAAAATCAGTTGTGTTTCTATACACTAATAATGAACAATCCAAAAGGAAAATTTTTTTAAATTTCCACTTACAATAGCATCAAAAAGATTCAAGTAATTAGGAATTAACTGAACCAAGGAGGAGAAATACTTGTACACTTAAACCTACAAAACATTGCTGAAAGAAACTAAAGACATAAATAAATGAAAAGACATCCCATGTTCATGTATTGGAAGATTTAATATTGTTAAATGTCAATACTAACCAAAGTGATCTACAAATTCAATATAATCTCTATCAAAATTCTAACTTTTTTGGGCAGAAATAGAAAACTCCATCCTAAAATTGATATGACATATCAAGGAACCCCAAACAGTCAAAACAATATTGAAAAAGATGAATAATGGAAGGCTCATACTTTCTAATTTTCAAGCTTACTACACAGCTACAGTAGTCTCAAGAGTATGGTACTGGCATAAAGACAAACATAAAGACCAACAGAATAGGATAGAGAGCCCAGAAACAAATTACTGCATATATAGTTAAATAATTTTCAATAAGTGTCAAAACTGTACAATGGAGATAGGCAGTCTTTTCAACAAAAAATGATGGGAATTCTGGATATCCACATAAAAGAATGAAGTGGATCCTTACCTAACACCACATACAAAAATGAACTCAAAATGGATCAAAGTCTTAGTTGTAAGAGCTAAAACTATAAAAGTCTTAAAAGAAAAGCTTAGTGAAAAGATTCATAACACTGGATTTGGTGATCATTTCTTGGAGATGACATCAAAAACAGAAGCAAAAAAAAAAAAAAGAAGGTCATATGTAGGGCCACAAAACAAGTCTTAACAAATTTAACAGTACTGAAATCGTATCAAGGATTGTTCTGACTATAATGGTATGAAACCAGGAATCGATACTAAGAGGAAAATTGGAAAATTCACAGATATGTAGAAATCAAATAACACACTCTTGAATAACAAAGTCAAAGAAGAAATCAAAAGAGACATCAGAAAGTATCTTGAGACAAATGAAAATGGAAACACAACATACCAAAACTTATGGGCTGCAGAAAAAGCAGCTTAAAGGGGAAGTTTATAGCAATAAATGTCTACATGAAGAAAAAAGAAAGATCTCAAAGAAACAATCTAACTTTACACCTCAAGTTACTAGCAAAAGAAGAACAAACCAAGCCCAAAATTAGCAGAAGAAAAGAAATAATAAAGATTAGAGCAGGGCTTCCCTGGTGGCACAGTGGTTGAGAGTCCACCTGCCAATGCAGGGGACACGGGTTCGTGCCCCGGTCCGGGAAGATCCCACATGCCGTGGAGCGGCTAGGCCCGTGAGCCATGGCCACTGAGCCTGCGCGTCCGGAGCCTGTGCTCCACAACGGGAGAGGCCACAACAGTGAGAGGCTCGCGTACTACAAAAAAAAAAAAAAAAAAAAAAATCCTTAACAGAATACTAGCAGCCCTAAATGAAATACTGGCAACCTGAACTTGACAACACATTAAAAGGATTGTACTCTGTGATCAAGTGGGATTTATCCCTGGGATGCAAGGAGGGTTCAACACAGGCCAATCAATAAATGTGATACACCACATTAACAGAATAAAGGATAAAACCATATGACTGTCTCAATAGATGCAAAAAACACCTTGGACAAAATTCAACATCATTCCATGATCAAAACTCTCAACAAACTGGGCATAGAGGAAATCTATATACCTCAACATAATAAAAGCCATATATAAAGGACATGCCCACAGCTAACATCATAGCTTTTCCTCTAAGATCAGGAAAAGGACAAGGATGCCCACTCTCACCACTTTTATTCAACATAGTATTAGAAGTCCTAGCCAGAGCAATTTGGCAAGAAAAAAGAAATAAAAGGCATCTAAATCAAAAAGGAAGAAATTGAATGATCTCTGTTTGCATCTGTTGCATTTCTATATACTAACAATGAACTATTAAAAAAGAAATTAAGAAAACAATCCCAGTTATAATACTACCAAAAAGACTAAAATACTTAGGAATAAATTTAGCCATTAGGAATAAATTTAGCCAAGGAGGTGACAGAACTGTATACTGAAAATTATATGACATTGATAAAAGAAATCAAAAATTACACAAATAACTGGAAAGATATCCTGGGTTCATGGATTAGAAGAATTAATATTGTTAAAATGTCCACACTGCCCAAAGCGATCTACAGATTCAATGCAATCCCTATCAAGATTTCAATGGCACTTTTCACAGAAATAGAACAATCCTAAAATTTATGTGGAACCACAAAAGATCCTGAATAGCTAAAGCAACCTTGAGAGAAAGTTCAAAGCGGAGGCATCACACTTCCTGGTTCCAAACTATATTACAAAGCCATAGTCATCAAAACAGTATGGTACTTGCATAAAAACAGACACACTGACCTATGAAAAGAATAGAGCCCCAAAATAAAGCCATATATATGTGGTCAACTAGTATTTGAAAAGGGTGCCAAGAATACACAATAGGTAAAGGACACTCTCTTTAATAAATGGGTGTTGGGAAAACTGTATGTCCATATGGAAAAAAATGAGACTGGATCCTGATCTTACACCACACACAAATATTTATTCAAACTGGATTAAAGACTTAAACATAAGACCTGAAACCATAAAACTAGAAGAAAATATAGGGGAAAAGCTACTTGACATTGGTCTTAGCAATCATTTTTTTGGATATGACACCAAAAACATAGACAACAAAAGCAAAAATAAGCAAGTGCTAAAAAGCTAAACTAAACTAAAGAGCTCCTCTACAGCAAAGGAAACAATCAACAAAATTAAAAGGCATCTTATGGAATGGGAGAACATATTTGCAAACCATATATCTGAGAAGGGGTTAATATCCAAAATATATTCAGGAACTCATATGACTCAATAGCAAAGAAAACAAATAACCCAATTAAAAAATAGCAAAGAATCTGAATAGACATTTTTGCAAAGAAGATATACAGGTGACCAATAGGCATATGAAGAGGTTCTTAACATCACTAATCATTGGGGAAATACAAATCCAAAACCACAATGAGACACGATGTTGGTGAGGATGTGGAGAAATTGGAACCCTCGTGCTTTGCTGGTGGAAATGAAAAATGGTGCAGCTGCTGTGGAAAACAGAACGGCAGTTCCTCAGAAAATAAGATATAGATGTACCATATGATTCAGTTATTCCACTTCTGGGTAAGTACCCCAAAGAACTGATAACAGGGACTCTAACAGATATTTGTATATAGCAGCATTTTTCACGAGAGCCCAAAGATGGAAACAACCCAAATGTCCATCAATGGACAAATGGAAAAAGAAAATGTAGTCTAGGTACTTCCCTGGTGGTGCAGTGGTTAAGAATCCACCTGCCAATGCAGGGGACACGGGTTTGAGCCCTGGTCCGGGAAGATCCCACATGCCACAGAGCAACTAAGCCAGTGTGCCACAACTACTGAGCCTGCGCTCTAGAGCCCGTGTGCCACAACTACTGAAGCCCGTGCATCTAGAGCCCATGCTCCGCAACAAGAGAAGCCACTGCAATGAGAAGCCCGCACACCGCAACGAAGAGTAGCCACCACTCGCCGCAACTAGAGAAAGCCTGTGGACAGCAACAAAGACCCAACACAGCCAAAAATAAATAAATAAAAGAATTTTTTTAATGTAGTCTATAAATACAATAGAATATTATTCAGCCTTTAAAAAAAGGAAATTCCAATACATGCTATAACGTGGATGACCCTTGAAGACACTATGGTGATGGAAATAAGTCAGACACAAAGGACAAAAATTGTATCATTCCACTTACTTTGGGTACCTAGAACAGTCAAATTCTAAGACAGAAAGTAAACAGTGTCTACTGGAGGCTGGGGAGCAGGGAAAACGGAGAGTTGTTGAATGGGTACAGAGCTGCAATATGGGATGATGAAAACGTTCTGGAGATGGAGAGTAGTGATAGTTGCAAAACAATGTGAATGTACTTAATGCCACTGAGTTGTACACTTAAAATTCAGATCTCACCCCTATCTCTCTGAATCAGATTCTCAGGGCTGAGGAAGTTAGAGTCCAACCCTCTCCATCTTTTTTTTTTTTTTTTTTTTTTTTAAACTCCAGTGGTGATTCTGACAAAAAGACAGAATCAAGAATCAGTTGTCAACATAATATTAAAGATGCAGGTCTAAAAATCTACAGCCGAGTTTAACCAACTGTTTAACAAAGTCCAAAATCTTGCTACATACTTGGAAAACATACTTTGAGGTTACCTGGTCCAAGCCCCTATTGTCAGGAAAGAAGAATCACTTCTACAACAATCTGTACAGATGTTCACCTGGGGTCTGCATAATCATTTTCAGTGATGTGACATTCACATCTTTGTGAAAGTGTCAAACTTTTTCTTTCTTTGAAAACTTCAACTGTTCTTTGTTATATTAAGCCTAAATCTGCTTTATTGTGTCATACTTATCAGACTAATTCTGCCCACGAGAGAAACATAAAATACCATGTGACTAGACTAGTCTGTAAATTTGTTTCTTTTTAACGTCAAATTAAATGTCAGCTGGTCAACCCTTGCCAAGTTCCATGTATCTATTTCCTTCAATTCTTCTTCACGGGACTTGTTTTCCAGGCCCTTCCCCACTTCACCTGTCTTCTTCCAGATACACTCTCATTTGCCCATTATGTGAATCACCTCAAGTCCAGTTTTTCTAAAGACCTTAGTGCTTTCAATTAAAAAGTCTGTGCAAAAAGATACAGACTATTCATATATGAGTTTTATTTAACTTCCCTCAATAACTTAAGCAATTAACCCTGCAGATAAATTTTTAAAAAATTCATTCTATGAAGAACCACCTTAGCTTCCTCAATGTATAATTATAGGCATTCTATCCATACCTCCTGCCATGACTAGGTGACACCAAAACCTCTTACAAAGTCAATATTATTATTTTGATATTTGAATATAGCCAACTACAAGAATTGTTTCCTCACATGCCACTTCTAATCCAAAGGGTATTCTAGGGTAGAAGTAAAAAAAATTAAATGTACTTTATTCTACCTACCAATTATAACATTTACAAATATCAGTGGTTTATAAACCAATAAAATTTGGGGTAAAAACCAAGAATTAAAACCAAGATTAGATTCTTTTGAACAGACCAGAGATTAATAACTGGCTTTGAAATTTTTCAGATAAAATAGAATTTATTCTACCTTTAAATATTAAAATAATACTTAATTAGCTACAGAATATACATTTTAGAAAAATTTAGTACATTTTAAAGAACAGCATTATTATTTACTAAGAAATCCTTATAAATAATATCATTATATAATTGGATAAGTATTAATGGTACTACTACACTTTTCCAAACTACAAAATTTTGAACTTATATTCCTTTATATTTATATATGCATATCTCAAAGTTTTTAGAAAAGCAAATGTTTATAGGAATAAAGAATTCATATTTAAATATTTTATAATAACAGATTTTTAAAACATTTTATAAAAGTTAAATTATTTTATTTACAGACAAACTGGCAAGTAATTAAGCAGAATCCCAAACATCATTTTGCATAACTTATCAAAGGATGGATTTTTGTTTGTTTATCATGACAGGTTTTGTTTTTTTTTAGAGTCCAATATTTTCTTCTCTTTTGAGAAGTAAATGTACAGTATGAAAAAGCCTTCATGTCATTGACAGAGGAATTATCTAGTTTATAATCCATATTTATATACTTTAAGTATATTATCAACTTCCTTTGAAATTCAAAAATAGTTAAGATTGCTTGATACTTCATAAATTATACCACCTGTAAAATAACCAAAAATTAGATTACTCTCAAATTAGAATAATTTCATTTAAGATATAGTTTAAAAAGTATATATATATATTCCTTTGTAGTATATACATAATGTAGTATACACATATATACTTCATGTATATACATGTGTGCATTTATATGTATGTGTATGCATGCATGCACACACTCACACACACACACACACACAGTTTTCTTACCCCTGAACTTATCTCCAGGCCTTTTGGCTGACTTTGTTGTTGTTTATGATGTCCCGTGAGCAAGCCTCCAGCTGTAAGGTTTGGAAAGCTCTGAAGATAAGCCTGTGACCCTGAGAAATTTCCTTCTGCCATCCCCACCAAGGCTGGCTGTTTCTCCTGAGTGTTCCCGTGCCCTGGCCCAGCTTGTCCAGCAATGTGCTGATTTGGAAGGAATGGTAACATGCCCATGCCAGCTGTTATAGTTGTTTGAGGTGGAATCAAATTAGATGCTGTAGTGAACCACAAATGCAAAAAGGTTTTGGTTAGATGAGGCTTATTCACAATAGTCCTTTTGATTTTGTCAAGTTATGGGCAGAATGTGCAGAAACCTCTTTTTTTACCTATTAGAGAACAGTTAAAATACAAAAGGTGAGGTTAAAGGTTATAAATTAGCAGCCTCCTGTATGGAAAAACAAAAACCTCTAATAGTAATCATGCTTTTCCTATTTTCAACAACTTCCAGGATAATCTCAAGGATATTATATTTTTTAGTTCCAAGTTTTAATTGTACATTTTAGAAGGTGAGAGCAAAATTTATATACTTTTTGGCACTTAAGTTATATCAGTGCCTTTTTTTTTATGCCCAGTCATTGTAATTTGCCTGGTTTCATATTTGAAGGGGATAATTAACTAAGCCTTCAGTTTAAAAAAAGTCTCTGACACTCAAAAATTAATAAAGTTACATTAAACCCAACAATACATTTAGTCAGTCAGGTTGCACCAGCTCGTTAAGAGTCAACTGTGCTATCTCTTCCCAGATCTTGAGTTCAACGTCTTTGCATGGGTAACCTGAAATCAGCCATGGTTGGACTGTTTACACACAGAAATCCACAAATGCTACAAATCAAGACTTTTTTTTAACCCAGAGAGCTGGTTTTTAAACACCAGCACACCACTGGTTTAAAAAAACATCAATATTTATGAGTAGCTAAGCACCAAATGAAAGTTTAACACATTAAAGTTTTACATTTTTATTTACAGGGAGTAACAAGAAATTCTGGAAGAAATAAAATTTTAATAGGAAAATCCTGAACCATTCCATTTTTTAAAACTCTATAGGTCAAAACTAAATGAAAAGAGCTAGTTTTGACAACTATCTTAATTAAATCAAAGCTAAACTAATTTCTTAAATTATTTTTAGTACTAACTATTTAGAGATAGATTCTCAGTTCTATCTTTTAGCAATATATTTATTTGGACACTTTGAATTTTCAGTGTTCTTAAAGCAGCAGTGCTAAAGCAAATGGCTAGTTATTTAATCCAACACAAATTATATATAAATATCTGTATAAGCTTTTAGGCATACAATATTTAATTTTTAGGACAGACTCTATCACACTATAAAAATTTCTATAGCTGTCTGTGTACTGGTTTAACTTTTGCCCAGTCAATTCCAATAGTCTGAATCGATTATTTGACCATTTGACTTGGTTTTATGTACAAGAGGCTAAATATGTTACCCATTTTAACTGACTTGGTTTTTTTTCTTTTTTATCACTGGTGGACTTTCTCTTTTTTCCCCTCAGCATGCTCACTTCAAACAAATTTCAGTTAAACTTCAAATTGAAAGTGCCTTTCAAAATCACATAAGACATCCTGGTATACTACCATGCTATTATTCTGAAAAGAAAAATAATTGTTCTGTTTAAATTTGTTACGTTTTAGAAGCACATAATACACATTTTTTTTTACTACTAATTTGGAGCTCACATTTTAGAAATGATACAAATAAACAATCAAACTTTACATTTATCATTACCAGATATTTCTTAATAAAGCTAAGGGTTTCTTATCCAGGCAAAAATTAAATGGATCCCTATGTAATGTGCTGTCAGCCCAGTGGGCAGCATGTCAGTCTCAAATAGATCTATGTCTCTGCCTCATGCTATTGTGAACCTTCATCAAATATTAAAGCATATCCAACAGAGAAAGTCTTATCTTGGCATAGAAGCAAGTCCATCAATAAATAACTACCAATAGTATTCTAATATTAAAAACAGAAAAGCCAAGAGGGCTCCTGAAATTTTAAATGATTGAATAAAACTCAAATCTGACCTTCCTGTAAATAAAAGTAGAATACAGGTACACTATCTTTAAATCTCAAATCTGACTGTTTACTGACGTCTCAGCAAATACACATAATTTACTTTTATGTGCTTCTCCAAGATGGCCCAACTCTGTTTTCAATGGAAGCGGTGACCCTATCCCTACTGCAGCTTGAAGCACCATAGCTGGGGGTTCTCCAAGTAAGCCTGGTTTCTGCAAAAGAAGAGAAGAAAAGACTTTTGCTCATGGCAGCAAGACATAACCTAATAAAAAAGCTACACATGTGAAAATTCATTAACAATCTGACCAACAGCCTGATTATAGAAAAGGAATGAACTCATTTCAAATGAAAAAAATAATTCCATACTTACATTATTAGTATGAATATTCTCAAACTTCATTAATTGTTGCTGTGCCAGTGGTACATGAGAAAGATTCTGAAGAAATAAATTAGAAGTATTACCCATAAGTGAGCTCTGTGAAAATGATAAAACATTAAGTTAGTTTAATTTTGAAGAGCTACTTGTTGTGTAATTCATTTTAAAGTTCAATTCCTGAGTTGATCTGAGCAAAAGCAACAGCTTCTTAATATTCTACTTTCTAATTACTGGCAACACTAATTAATTCTTTCAGTAATACACAAGATGTGACCATACAGTCATGAAACTAATTCCATATCCCTTCCTTCTTTTCTTCCATCTTTCCTCCCCTCCCCTCACCCCTTTCTGGCTTTGATGTCAGTATCATTCAATCATTTATTTATTCATTTAATCATTCAACAAATATTTATGGAGCACTTCTATGTGCCAGGCACTGTGCTACAATATGGTCTGCCCTCATGGATCTTATAGTCCCCTGAGGAGGGGAGACATTAATTAATTATAAAAACATACAATTAAAAATGGCAATGAGTGTATGAAGGAAAAATACAAGGAGCTATGGAAACAAATAGTGGTGGAACTTGATTTAGACTGGTAAATTCAAGGAAGGTTTCCCTGAGGAACTAACTCTTGCACAGAGATCTGAAGGCTGTGGAGAAATAACTAGGTGAAGTCTGGGGGAACAAGGTGGTGCTGCGGTGGGAAGTATTCCAGGTAGAAGAACAGCAGGAACAAAGACCTAAGGAGAAGAGAAGAAAGCCCTTCACGGACCACAAGCAGTTCACCAGAGCTGGGACAGTGACACCTAAGGCATATGAGAGGCAGGAGAGGCCAGCTTAGACAGGCCCTCAAGGCAAAATTAAGCAGTTGGTCTTTATTTTAAAGTAAAGGGAATATTGTCAATACTCTGGTCTCCCCTCCCATATCACTTTAAACCTTATTGTAATTAACTGTTTAATGCTTGTTTTCTCTATTTGTTGAAATTCTATAAGGATAAGGACTGTGAATATTCTGTTCAATGCTATAGCCTCAATGGCTAGCAGAGTGTCTAGTACATGTTAGATTTTCAATAAAATATGTTGAGTAAATGAATGAAAAATGTACAGGTCATATGTTAGATTCTAAGAATGAAAAATAAACAAATAAGCCTTTTCCTTAAAAAGCTGCGTTTAGGAACAGACATTCATTCATTCAACCTATAACAACCCATTTATCATGTGTTAGGTTCGATTTGTAATTAGGCTTCTATATAGATATAGCCTTAAACAGTACCTGAAATTAGTAGGTAATATTTATCTCCAATATTACGGATATCTATGTACACAAACATAGTTTAAAATACTTATCTGAAAAAGGTAAGAAAAAAAATTTTTACTCTCATAAATATATAAATTATTTCTATAACATTGATTAAATTTTAAGAATTAAGAGTTATTATTTTTCTTTTTGTAAATACTTTTTTGAGTTAAGACCACATAAAACTTGTTTTGAGCTACTGAGTTATTTCTAGAAAAATATACCACAAAATATTCCTCTTCCCTTCTTAATGCCCTACAAATAGGAACCAATAAATATATAAACTATGATGCTTTGATTACCTTAATTTGATCTGATTTCCTTATTAAGTTCTGTTTTTAAGTAGGTACACTTATTACTAAGAATTTTATTTGGAAACAAAATACTCATTTGACTCCTTGAGAACTTTAAGTGTAAAGAACAAACAAAATATTCACTCCAAATGTTCGATGCTTCAGTACTCAATGCTATTTATATACCTGATGTGCTTTATTCAAATGTAAAAATGCAGGGGAGATGGATGGATTCATCAGATGTGGCAAGCTGTGAGGTGTTCCAAGGACTGCTTTAAGAAAATAAAAGTAAAAATTTAACTTTATGATATCTATGGAATTCAAAAATAAATAAAACAAACTCCAAAAAGGGTAAATGAATATTCCTTTAAACTTTAACATATGTAGTGGAAGTTCAATGATATACTGACCTTGTCATTGTACAAAAAGTGAAAGGCTCCTTTCCTTGTGATTCAACTCTAGAATTTGATTTTAAATTCCAACACCTTCTGTCTTAATGGAAAAACACCAAACCTAGCCTTTCTCTTCTCTGGCACTTAATGCAAGAAAACTAATTCCACCTTTTAATAATTATAATACTAATTGAACCCATGTTATTTGCTCAGTATTTTTGTTAGTTTTTTTTGGGTATTCTGGCAGTGGGTCAGGTGGGAGGGGAAGGACAATATACAATACTTGTCGTTAAAGCTTATAATCCAATTGAGAAGAGAATATGTACATTTAAAGATATTTCATAAAAAAACCTACAGAAGCAATGATACTGTATATAGTTGATAAAAGGAATAAATGATAACCATACTCTTTATCAAGTTTGTCTAAGAGTACAAATACCAGAGTACATATCAGAAGAGATATTTTAAGAACATACAATATACAGACAAAAAGAACCATGAGATAGAAAATATATGAAGCAATTCATCTAATTATTAGATGTAAATTGTCATAATATACAGCTAATTAGAATCACAGAAGGTCAGGCTTAGAAAGTACTTCAAAAAGCACGTAATCCAATGATCAAACGTATTTGAAATTTATACATAACACTGCTACAAGTTCATTCATGCTTTAAAAACTTTGTTCCAATCTTTTGTTACTTGCGGAGACAATCCATTACATCTTTGGAAAACTGACCATTAGAAAGCACTTTCTTTAGAATGAACCAGTTTCAATGATAGATGATGGGAAGATTAGATCATTAGGATAAGTTGCTTATAAAGGAAAATACTGTTTATTAGGAAAGAGGGGTAAAGATCGTCATTTCATAATGATTAAGGGGTCAATTCATCCATTAGGATGCAACAATCTTAAATGTCTGTGGACCAAATAACAAAGCTTCAAAATATATGAAGCAAAAACTTCTAGAACTAAAAGGAAAAGTAGACAAATCTACAATTATGGTTAGAGATTTCAATACCACTTCCTCTCATTTTTCAGACAGTCACTGTATTTTGTTATAAAACATTAAAATATTTTTTCACAGCTTTTAGTGAATATCGTATTTCCCAGTTTAAAACAACAACCAGAATTAAAACATTCTGAAAATGTCCACAGTCTCACATCTAACTGCCCTTACCCTTAGATTTTGGCTAGGTCTCCCACTGAGCCTCTTGCTCCCCTCAATAATTGATAGCATAAGTGGACTGAAAACCAGTAAGGATATAGGAGACTTGAACAACACTGTCAACCTAAAATTTATATACAAAGGATTATAAAGCTGACACGAAGTGACAGAGTGGCATGGACTTATATATACTACCAAATGTAAAATAGATAGCTAGTGGGAAGCAGCTGCATAGCATAGGGAGATCAGCTCAGTGCTTTGTGACCACCTAGAGGGGTGGGATAGGGAGGGTGGGAGGGAGACGCAAGAGGGAGGAGATATGGGGATGTATGTATCTGTATAGCTGATTCACTTTGTTATAAAGCAGAAACTAACACACCATTGTAAAGCAATTATACTCCAGTAAAGATGTTAAAAAAAAAAAAAACTGATTTGCAAGGCAGAAATAGAGACACAGACGTGGAGAACAAACATATGGACACCAAGGGGGGAAAGTGGAGCAGTGGGGGTAGTGGAGGTGGTGGTGGGACGAATTGGGAGATTGGGATTGGCACATATACACTAATATATATAAAATAGATAACTCATAAGAACCTGCTGTATAAGAAAATAGTCTTAAAAAAAAGAAAACAAAACTGATGTTCATAGTCAAAAAAAAAAAAAGGATTATAGTATGTCGTGACCAGGTGTGGCTTACTGTAGGAGTGAAAGATTGGTTTAACATTCAAAAATCAATCAATATAATTCATCATGATAACAGACCAGAAATAAAAAAGCCACATTGATGATATCAATAAATGGAGAAAAGCATTATATAAATCCCAGCAATTACCATGATAAAATATCTCAGCAATATAAAAATAGAAGAAAAATTTCCCAGCTTGAAAAAGAAAATCTGTGAATAAAAAACTATAGCTAACATAATGCTTAATAATAAAAGAATGAATGCTTTCTCTGTAAGATCAGGAACAAGGCAAGGATGTCCACTCTCATGAGTTCAATGCACAAATTTTTCAGGAATTTCTATCAACTGCAATAAAGCAAGAAAATAAAATAAAAGTACATACTGTAAAGGAAGAAGTAAAACTGTGTTTATTTGTAGATGACATGATTGCCTATACAGAAAATCCTAAGGGCAATACCTACTATTGATAGAAATAGAAAGCAAGACTGCAAGATACAAGATAAATAGACAAAATCAATTGTACTTGTATATGCTAGCAACAAGCAGTAGGAAATTGAAATTTAAAAAGTAATACTATTTAAAATAGTATCAAGAATATATAAAGAACTCAGCAACAAAAAGACACACAACCCTGTTCAAAAATGGGCAAAGAACTTGATTAAGCATTTCTCCAAAAGAAGACACAAAAATAGACAACAAGCACAAGAAAAGATGCTCAACATAATTAGTCATTAGGGAAACTCAAATCAAAACCATGATGAGTTGCCAGTTGATTCCTACTTGGATGGCTAAAATTAATAATAATTTAAAAAACCCAGAAAGTAACAAGAGTCTATAAAGTTATGGAGAAATTGGAACCCTCATACATTGCTTTGGGAATGTAAAATGGTGCAGCCACTGTGGAAAACAGCTTGGCAGCTCCTTAACAAGTTAAACATAGAATAACCATATGACCCACCAATTCTAGTTCTAGGAATATAAGCCCAAAAGAACTGAAAACAAATGTTAAAATGCTTGTACATGAATATTCACAGCAACACTCTTCACAAGAGTCGAAAAGTGAAAACAACTCAAATGTCCAGCAGTGTGATGTGCATACGATGGAATATTACTCAGCCAAAAAAAGGAATGAAGTACTGATACATATTACAGTACTCAAAAACATCATGCTAAGTGAAAGACGCCAGACACCAAAAGTCACATAACGACTTCTGTTTATATGAAACATGCAGACTAAGCAAAAGTGTAAAGACAGAAAGCAGATTGGTTGTTGCCAGGGCCTGGACAGAGGAGGAAATGGGAAGTCACTGTTTCATGGGTCTGGATTTTATTTTGAGATCATGAAAATGTTTGAAAGTAGGCAGAGTTGGTGATTACACAACATTGTGAATGTACCAAATGCCACTGAATTACTGACTCTGAATTCTGCCTCAGAAAATTACTGCAATAAAAAAATAGTATCAAGGAACATGAAATGCTATGGATAAATCTGAAAAAATATGTGTAAGATTTATACCCTGAAAACGACAAAATATTGCTGGGAGAAATTAAAGAAGACCTAAATAAATGGAGAGATATACCGCACTTATGGCAAATTGTTGTCAGTTCTGCACAGATTAGCATACAGATTCAACACAATTCCAATCAAGTTTCCAGCAGACGTTTTTCATAGAAATTGACAGCTGACTCTAAAATTTATATGCAAGTACAAAGGACCTAGGATAGGCAAAACAAAGAGAAAAAGAACAGAGTTGAAGGACTTACACTAACTGATTTCAGGACTTATTATAAAACTGTATATAATCAAGACAATGTAGTATTGATATAAAGGCAGGCATTTAGATCAATGGAATAGAAACAGAGAGTCCAGAGATAGAGCCATATATATATGGTCAATTGATTTTTGAAAAAAGTGTCAAGAAATTCAATGAAAAAGGATAATCTTTTTTAACAAATGATGCTGGAACAACTGTAAAAAAAAATTAACCTGGACCTTTACCTCATATCATAAATAACAATTAACTTGAAATCATTCATCAACCTAAACTTAAGAGGTAAAATTATAAAACTTCTTGAAGAAAACATATAAGAACATCTTTGTGACCTCGAATTTGGCAAAGATTTCTTAAATATGACACAAGAAGTATGAATTATAAAACAAAAAATAATAAACTGGACATTGCCAAAATAAAAAATTTTGCTCTTCAAAAGATATTAAGAAAATAAAAGGACAACAACCTACAGAGTGGCTGCAAACCCATATATCCAATAAAGGACTTGTATCTAGGATAAAAAACCCTAACAACTTGATAAGAAGATAAGCAACCTAATTTTAAAATGTACAAAATATCTTAAAAGATATATTAACAAAGAAGGTATAAAGATGGCAAATTAGAACATTAAAAGATGTTCAAAATCATTTGTCAAAAGGGATATTCAAATTAAAACCACAATGAGATAGCACTATAAACCAAATAGAAAGGCTAAAATTAAAGGATCAACATATCAAATGTTGGTGAGGATACTGAATGAACTAGAGCCCTGGACACTGATGGTGAGAATGTAAAATGGTTCAACCACATTAGAAAACAGTTGGAAGAGTGTCTTACAACTTAAACATACATCCACCATATGACCCAGCCATTCCACAACTATGTCTTTATCCAAGAGAAATGAAAGCATAAGTCTACATAAAGATTAGGAGCAAATCTTCACAGCAAGTTTATCTGTAATGACCCCGAACAGGAAATAACCCAATGTTCAACAAATCAATGAAAATGGAAATTGTAGAACTGAATACTACTCAGCATTAAAAACTATTGATACATGCAGCAACATGGATGAATCTCAAAATAATAAGCCGAGGGAAAGAAGCCATACGGTACATACTGTGTGACTCCATTTATATAAATTTCTAGAAAATACAAACTATAGTGACAGAAAGCAAATTAGTAGTTTCCTGGGGATGGGGGGAGGGGTTACAAAGAGACAAAAGGAAAGTTTTGAGAGTAATGAATATGCTCATTATTTGGATTATGGCGGTAGTTTCATGGGTTATACACGTGTTAAATCTTACCAATTTGTACAATTTAAATATGTGCAGATGAATGTGCCACAGTTATACCTCAAGAAAGCTGTTAAACATACAATTTAGATTCTAAGTAATTATATACTAAACTTTAAAACAGACACACACACAAGGACAGAGAGAAAGAAATGTACAATATTTACACTATACTGTATTTTTTTAAGGTATTTACAAGGTCTGGATTGGAGAGAAAAGATCAGTACGCTTCAAGTAACATAAAGTAGGTGCAGGAGGAAAATCGACCTGACGGTCGTGCATAAGTGTAGGAGGAAAATTGACCTGACGGTCGTGCACAGATTAGATCAGACAGAAAAGAAGGCAGACCAGAAAAGTAGTTAAAAGTTTACAGACTAGATCATATATAACAAGGTATGTATAAATTGTGCAACAGACAGGTTAAGGAAGGAGTTTAATCAGTAAACAATATTTAAGTACTTTTCACTATAAATAGCAGTTCTGTCCTAGATGCCTGAGATGAACCAAACAGATAAATCCTTGCCATTATGGAGCCTCCTCTAGTCTAGTGGAAGAGAAGGCAATAAACAACTAGATACGTGTCAGTTACTTGAAAAAATGATACAGTGAGAAAGAAGTTTGGGCAAGGGTTTAAATACAAATATATCATACAGGCATACTTCAGGTTTGGTTCCAGGCCACTCCAATAAAGTGATTACTGCAATAAAGCAAGTCACACAATTATTTTAGTTTCCTGGTGCATGTAAAAGTTATGTTTATGCTATACTGTAGTTTAATAAGTGTCCAATAGCATTATGTCTAGAAAACAATGTATATACCTCAATTTAAAATGCTAAAAATGCTAACCATCATCTGACAAAAGCAGTGTTGCCACAAACCTTCAATTTGTAAAAAAAACACATAGCATCTGTGAAGCACAGTAAAATATGGCACACTTGTGTATATATGTATCATATAATATAAACAAATTACAGGGAATTATGATCCTTTGTAATTAGTTTGTTCAGGGGCTTCTGTGAAGAGCTCAGGATATAGTAAGGGATATAGTTAAGATATAGTAAAAAAAAAAAAACATAGTAAAGGAAAAACAAATGAAATTTATTGATTAACAAGAGCTTGTCTTTCCTGAACACCAAGAAACTTTCCATACACTGTCTCTTTGCATGTGTTCAGGTAAGGTATCTAACCCTCTTCACTGGCCATTCCAAACAAAGAAAAAGCTATCAGTGTAATAATGATATATCTTTCTTAAAACAGTGAAAGTAGGACTAAAATAAAAAAGTCTAATCTCATATGGTCATACACCAACCTGAGTAGAAAAGCAGAGTGGAGAATACATATCTTAGATGAAAACATGAGACAAAAATAATTTGGGGGAGAAGTTACTAAAGATAGTCCAGGTGTGAACTATACTTTCTAAGAGACACAAGAGTATAATATACTTCTTTAAACTCTGATACAAACTTGGACTGCATTAATAGGAATATAATGATCATAGGAAGGAAATCCCACTGCATTCTGTGCTGATTAGAACCCATCTATAGGATAAATTCATGTCTGTGTACACCATATTTCAGGGCAACCCAGACAACCTAGGTATCTTTACAAGAGGACAACTTGGGCGGGGGATGCTCTAGAGAGCGTATCCTATGACATGTTATATAAAGTCAAATACAGAGCTATAGTTTACAAAGAGAATAGAAGAGGTGTATAAAGAGAACCATACTCAATATTTTGTCATAACATATAAGGGAAAAGAATTTGAAAAAGAATATATACACATATATATATATATATATATATATATATATATAAATTTTCTGTACACCTGAAACTAACACATTGTAAATCAATTATACTTCAATAAAAAAATAAATTGTTCTTAAAAAAGAGAACTGTTATTTGTATTTACTTTCATCTTAAAATATAAAAATATTAAGCTTTATCATTTCTTAATATATGGATTGACAAAGGTATATTCATGTAATTGACATATAGGTGATACATATACTGTATATATTGGGGCTCTACTAAAAATATACTTTCCTGATAGAGTTGCATAGTCAAAAAATAAATAAATAAAATGAGACCACTGGTCTGGAGAACAGAAGACAAAGAAAATCAAAGATGACTAAGGTTTCATGATAGCTGTCTTCAACATTAGAAGGCTTTTCTTATGGAAGAAGGAATAGATTTATTCTGTGTTTCCTCATAGGAAGAACTAGAATAAGTGGCTAAAAGTCATAGAAATCACCATCTAATACAAGGGAAAACCTAGTAATTAAATTTGTTAAACCAGGGAATAGCTGCTTTGGAAAATAATGAGCTGTGTCTATGCTTTGAGTAGTCAAGACATACAAAGGATCTCTCTATACCATTAAAGTTGTAGAAGGGATATCTGACCGCATAGTAGGCTGAGCTGGACACCTCTAAAGCTACTTCCTACACAGAGATAACTGATGATTATATGAAGTACTTAATATGAACACTGTTGGTATAATAAAGAATTTAACTGGTCTTTGTCTTTGGTTCCTGGAAGGAAAACTCTAAATCCTTGGAATTTTCCCAGTGACAGGAGTGTCTTTGTTATGCTAATGAGGTGACTCAGTGTGGGCCCCTAGATGGCTTCAGGATGGGGACTGGTCATACCAGAAAGACCTACCATGTGATTAGAGGACTAGAGCTTTGAGCCATATGATATCAGCCTAACCTCCTGACTTCCAGGGAGAGGAGGGGGACTGGAGATAGAGTTCAATAACATGGTCAGTCATGCCTACATAGCAAAACCCCAATAAAAACTCTAGACACTGAAGTTACTGCAGCAGGGAGTTCTGGCTAATTAATACACATGTGTGCTGCAAGGCAGATGTGCTCTGATTCCATGGGGAAAGAGCATAAAAGCTCTGCAGTCAGGACCTTCCAGTCTGGAAGCCCTAAGTCTCTTGATTAGGCTATTTCTGAGTTATATCTTTTATAACAAAACTGTAATCATAAGTACAGTAAGTTCCCTACATACGAACCTTCAAGTTGCAAACTTTCAAAGATGCGGACGTGTGTTCACATGTCCAATCACGTAAATTAGTTCACGTGACTGGCGTACCTTGTCACGTGTGTGCACCCTCTACAAGTGGCTGTGCTTTTGTGTACTTTACTGTACAGCACTGTATAGAGTACAGTAGCGCAGTATCTTTATTTCAAGCCCAGGATGTCCGGAGGCAAGCGTAAAAGCAGCGGTGATATAGCTGGTACTGCTAAGAAGTGCCAGGAATTGGAGGCCCAGAGAAAGAACGAAGAGAGACAAGAGGAAGAAGAAGTAACTGAAGAACCGAAGAGATTCATGACGCAGGAAATGGCAAGGGGATTTTCTTTATTTGAGGAGGCAGTTAGTTTTGAGGCACAGGACCTGAACGTAGAATGGTACACGAAGGTTGCAACAGCCGTTCAGAATGCAATCCAGGGCTACTGTGTCATCTATGACGAGAAAAGAAGGCCTATTACCCAGACATCACTGGATCATTTTTTCAAGAGGGTAGGTAGAACTGAATCCAGCAAGGAACCAGAACCTGTGCCATCAATGTCAGGCGTGAGTGAAACTGCAGCTTGCCCTCCGTCTCCTATCGCTGACGATCCTTCAGCTCTACCATCTCCCACCTCCTCTCCCCACTCCAGTCAGTAACACTTCTTGCCTGTTCACTCGATGGCAGCCCCTGGATGCCGGCTGTTGTGCTGCACTACTGTACTTTTCAGGGTACTGTACTGTAAGATTAAAAGTGTTTTATTTTTCTGTGTTTGTATTATTTGTGTGAAAAGCATTATAAACCTATTAGAGCACAGTACTATATAGCCGACTATGTTAGTTGGGTACCTAGGCTAACTTTGTTGGACTTACAAACAAACTGGACTTACAAACACGCTCTTGGAATGGAACTCGTTTGTATGGGTGGGGACTTACTGTATAGTGCTTTCCTAAGTTCTGTGAGTCTAACAAATTATTGAACCTGAGGGGGTCACAGGAACCCCCAAATTTGAAGCAAGTTAGTCAGAAATGTAGGTGACCAGGGGACCTCTGAAGTTGTGGCTGCTGTCTGAAGTAGGGGCAGACCGGTTGGGGACAAAGCCCTTACTTGTAGGATCTGTGCTAACTCTGGGTAGTTGGTGCTAGAACTGAACTGCAATATACTAGCTGGTGTTAGACCAGTTGGAGCTGAAACGGAGTAAGTGTATTTAAACATTTGTAATCTAAAGCTTAGTGTCGAACACAGGCATTCATTTCCTCATAATGATAAAACATACATTCTGTGTATGTATAGTTGTGCATTTCAAAAGGTAAATAAACTCTTCTCAATGAATACTAAATAGATATTTAATGTATGCCAATATTATAAAAATTTCCATAATACTTAGAAAATGATGTTTTTCTCATTTTCTAAAAAGTGAAACAACTTCACAATGAAAAAGAAAGAGCAGAGAGGAAACAGACCTTAACACTTCCCAACAAAGTAATTCTGCCGAAAGTATTACGTAGAAAAGTATCATATCCTTTGTTAACATAGGCTGTAACAATGTAGTATATTAAATATTACCTTATTAAGCCATGTGTTACCTGGTTTACAAATTCATGTCAACCAGTAACTAAACTGAAGGTTTAATATTTAATACTTATTAATAGTTAAAAAAAAAAAATCAGGAAACCCATAAGCAGTTTGTCCCTATCAAATACAGTCAAAACATATTTTCACCTCAGACCATTAATTAAAATAAATTATATTTTATATATTCACTGATAAATTCTAGAAAAAATAAATATTCTTGGACTAATTTAAGTGTGTTTTTCATGTAAAACAGCACAATTAACTTCATGCCAACATTCTACGTTTAATCAGCACACATGAAGTTTACCTGGTTTAACAGTTCGCCCGCAGAGCTGGGGTTGTAGAAGAACTTGTAACATGGCAGGGTTGTTTAAACTTTTCATAATTTGCACTGGATTTGGCTCTGGAAGTAAGCCCTTTTGATTACTGTGCATCTTTGATGAATACAGAAATAGAAAACATTAGAACAAGGATAAGCACAAAGATGAAACTGTAAAGGCTTTTTTCCAGAAATTCTCATTCACCTGATAAGATCTATTTTATGATAACCACAACTTACTTTATATTATATACTTGTTGTATACATTCTACCACAATTCCTAATTATAAGATATTCTACCATACAACATACACTGAAATCCTCATAGAATGTTTCAGTTAAGTAGAAATTGGCTTTAAGAGGACTAATGATTTAGTCAGATAAATCTCTTCATACAAGTAGAAAGATTTCAGGGGAATCTGAATTTATTAACAGGGAGGTAACCTGTTGACACAAGATGAATATTTTGATACTGTAGAAGAACCTTACAACAATGTTGATCTCAAGTTTAATAATGTGGGATGCCTTACAAAGCAACATTTTTCTTATAATAACTGTCTTTAATTCATTAACTTAATCCTCTAATATGAGACAAAGATGAACTGGCCTTACATACATGTCATTGGGTAGCTTCCTAAATATATGAAGTTGTTCTCAGATTTTAAAAGCCAGTCTGATGTAAAAGGAAAACTATGAACTTCCAGCCAGGAGAAAATGGAGAACCGACAAGGACAACTGGATTCCCTCTCTCATCCCAAGCTGTGACATTAAGAGGGAGACGGTGATGGATTGAGAACCTGACACTAAACCCGTGAGAAATCCCTGGACGGACACAAGGTAGTGCCCCAAGAGTGTGAGACAGGCTGGATCCACAGACAGGATAGCTTGGGGAAGGGCCTTCCTCCACATCACCCCCTAGGGATCATGGCTAGGAAAGAGCAGGAAAAGGGCAGCATCAGTCCAGTGACCGCCTAGGAGCAGTGAATTAACAGCAGGGTGCCGTGCAAACTCAGAGACAGTGGGGACCATGTAACACTAGGTAGAGGCACCAAAAACTTCCTTCCCACATCCTCCAACCTTCTCTACTTCCTTCCTCCCACTGGGCAGGGTGGAAGAGTTATAATTGAGGAAGGCAGAACTTGGAAAAGAGCAGGGTTGGGAGAAGAGGTTAAGAGGCTCTAAGGGGCAGGGTTGCCTGGCTGGGGTGGGAAAGGGCTGTGGTCAAGGCCAGATGGTCAGGGCAGAGGTTCTCAGCCCTAGGTTCCTGCCCGCCTTCCCTAAACCCTAGCTGAGACCAGCCTTCAGCACTCCTCCTCCATCTCCAGCCCCTCAACCTCTAAACACTCACATACAAAGAAGCCAACCGCCATACCCACTACCAAAGGAGATATGTATCCACAGAACAAAATAACTAGGCATGGGGAGAATGTAGCCACAAAAACTAAAGGCAACAAACTGAAGCACCTATAAGAGACAAAGCAGAATTAAAGGATAGGAAATAATAAGAACGTTAACTCAACATAACAGACATCCTAAAAAAAAGATAATATATTTTTATTGGTAACATGAAACAAGGACAAGCAGTTATAAAGAACAACCAATTAGAAGTATGAAAAACACAACTGTTAGAGAAAATTAATAGCAGCCATCACTTACTATATATACTTGGCATTGTTCTAAGCATGTTACATGGATTAGATCACTTAATGCCCCAAAACAACTCTATAGGGTTCGTGTTATTACCCCCATTCTATAGGCGAGGAAACTGGAGAAACTCATAAAGCATTATTCTTAACCTCTACTCTGTGCTTTAACAGATAAGTTAAACAGTAGGATATATGAGACTGAAAAACAAAATAATGATCTGAAAGGTCAGGTCAAATAAACTTCCCAGAATACATGAGCAGAGGATAAAGAGGGAAATACAAACAAAGTAGAACATGGTAATGAAAAATGCAAACAAGAGAGAAAGCCAAGGCAATAAAGGGACTAGAAGTCTTAACATCTATATAATAGGAGTCCCTGAAGGATTAGGAAAAAAAGGGAATCTTTGAAGAAGTAATGGCTGACAATTTCCCAGTATTAAAGAAAAATTAAAGACCACAAAATGAAAGGGTTCCAAATATGATATAGAAAAACACACACCTGGTTACATTTTTTTGGTGTGAAATTTAAGATCAAACACCCTCCCCATACTAAACACTTCCAGTGAAGAAGAACATATCTCAGAAAAAAGAAAAAAGCCGATTAATATCATCTTCACTCTCAAAGCGTCAACCCTGGATTTAAGAAGGCAACAAATTAATATTTTCAAAGTGCTGCAGGAAAAAAACTTTGAATCTAGATTTTTATATTCAGCTAAGCTATTAAGAAATAAAAAATATTCCCAGCCATACACAGTCTCAAAAGTTTTTACTACATGAAACCCTTTCTGAAAATGAGAAATGAGAATAAATGCATGATGATATTACATGATACATGGAAATTAGCATTTATAATATCACAGTTAATTTTAATCTTGTATACAAAAGGCAGGACCATAAAAACAAAAACATTAAGGTTGGGAATTCCCTGGTGGTCCAGTGGTTAGTACTTGGTGCTTTCACTGCCATGGCCTGGGTTCAATCCCTGGTTGGAGAACTAAGATCCTGCAAAACGTGCAGTGCGCCCTCCCCCCCCCCAAAAAAAATTAAGGCAATCCTAAAGTAAAAATGTACTTTATGTATTCCCAATATGGTGGTAGGTGGGGTAGAAGGAAGAAGCAGGATGGAGTTTAGAATGAACTAAGTGGGAAGAAAGAGATACTGATCAACCTAGGGGTGTTAGTAAGTTAGGAACAATCACCAGTAGGATAAAATAGAACATCTCACTCTCGAAGCAGAAGAAGAAAATTCTAATTTATCCAATAGTAGATGGGAAATGAAAACAAAGGGAAAAAGTATAGTTAAAAAAAAACATGACAAGTGTTGGTAAACAGTATAGAGGTTCCTCATAAAATTAAAAATAGAACTACCATATGACCCAGCAAGTCAACTTCTGGGTATTTCTCCAAAGAAAACAAAAAACACTAACTCAAAAAGATATATGGACCCCATGTTCATTGCAGCATTATTTATAATAGCTAAGATATGAAAACAACCTAAGTTTCCAAAAATGGATGAACAGATAAAGAAAATGTGGTGTGTATATGTATACAGACAATGGAATATTATTCAGCCATAAAAAAGAATGAAATTTTGCCATTTGTAGTCACATGGATGGACCTTGAGGGTATTATGCTAAGTGAAATAAGTCAGGCAGAGAAAGATGGATACTGTATGATCTCACTTATGTGTGGAATCTAAAAACAAAACCAAAACCAAAACCATAGATACAGAGAACAGACTGATGTTTCCCAGAGGGAGGGGGTGGAGGGTGAGTGAAATGGTAACGGGGGTCAAAAAGTACAAACTTCCAGTTATAAGAGAAATAAGTCATGAGAATGTAATGTACTGCACAGTGACTATGACTACAGTTCATAATACTCTACTTCATATTTGAAGGTTGCCAAGAGAGTAGATCTTAAAAGTTCTCATCACAAGAAAAAGAAATTTTGTGATTCTGTGTGGTGACAGATGTTAACTAGACTTACTGTGGTGATCATTTCACAATATATACAAATACTGAATCATTAGTTGTACACTTGAAATCTAACATAATGTTGTATATCAATTATATCTCAAAAGAAATCTATATCAGAAGAATAGCTTTTAAAAATTCCTAGGTGGGTATAAACTGGAAAAAAAAACTAATAATTAAGCTAAAAGGAAATCATAACAAAAATTTGAAACATTCATAATATAAAATTTATGACACATAGGTATAGCATTAGTTATAGAAGTAAGCTTACTTTAACTATGTTCATCAGAAAACAATCTAGGTTGAAAACAGAGGAGCTAACCACGGATAACATTAAAGATGGGTGGGGGTGGGGGGCGGGAAGAGTAAATCCAAAGAAGAAAGAAGCAAGGAGGTTATAAAGATAGGGCAAGAATAAGCAAAAGATAGAAAAAAGAGAAATAATGAACAAAACAAAAGCTGTTTCTTTAAAAGGCAAAATAAATAGTTTGCAAGACTGATCAAGGGAAAAAAAGGAAATGCAAATAAATAAAATATACGATAAAAAGAGGAGACTAGACATGACAAATTTTAAATAAAATTTTATAAATAGCTATGTGCCAATAAATTTAAAAACTCAGACAAAGTGGATAAATTTGTAGCATATAATCAAATGCCACATAGAGCACACAGAGAAAAATAAAACTAATAAACCTAATATCCACAGAAGAAATTTAAGTGGTAATCAATGATTTCCTTCTGGAAGAGGCTCAAGGAGTAAGTCTACACGGTTTCATAGATGAGATCTCTCAAACTTTCAAAGAACGGATGACCCCGATTTTATACAAATTGATCCATGAAATGGAAAGAAAAGGAGAAGGGGGAGAAAAATATGTAAATCATTTAATGAGGTCAATGTTCTCTTGATTCCAAAATTAAGTGAAAATGGTACCCAAAAATTTAAGCATTTTCACTTATGAGCACATTTGCACATATACCAAATAACAAATTTTATTATCCAATAAAATCAAACAATGCATAGGAAAAAAATCATTATCAATTAGGATTTACAACATAAGGATAGTGTAATATTAGAAAAACCTATCAATTGGATTCAGCACATTAATGAACTTAGAAAGAAATCACATAAAATTATCGCAATAGTTGCAGAAATACTCTGATAAACATCAATACCTACTTATGATTTTTTTTTTAAATCAGAAAACTTGATAAAGGATATGTACCAAGAACCTACAGAAAAAAAAATCAATGCAGCACATTACTTTTAAGACTGAGAAAAACTTAAGATTCCTCATGTTACTAATACCTAATCACGAAGGGCCCTGTATGCCATGGTAAGGAACTGCACTTATGCACGCATTAAAGAATATTAAGCAAGAGAATGACATAATCTGGTTTGAGGACGAGAAAGATCACTCTTGTGGCACCGTGGAAGATGGGTTAGAATGGGGAAGACGAACGACATGGCAACCACATAGCAGGTTATTCGAACCATCAAGGTGAGAAAAATGAGATCCTGAGTAAAGTAACAAAGATGCTGACAAGTCTCAAGGATTTAATAGTTACCAGGAGGTGGAACTGAAAGGATTTGCTAATATTCTCGACATCTTGATCTGGGGAGTAGGTGAAGACGACCAATCATGATTAACTGAGTTTTTAATTCGGACAGTTCTAGTTTGAATGAACTGATGCCATACATAGATATTACAGAACACAGAAAAGCAGGTCCCAGAGAAAAATAGTTTTCTTTTGGAAATGTTGAAATTGAACTATTTATATAACATAAAAAGGGGCTGTTTAAATATCATTTGGAAATACAGATCTAGTGCTTAGAGCAATTGGGTCCAAAAATATATGCTTGGAAAAATCATCACTGATAGGCAATAACTAAAACCACTGGAGTGCTGAAGAGGAAGAAAGTGAGGAGGCCAAATACAGAAGCCTACTGATAGCAGCCCTTCGGGAAAGAGAAGAAAGGGGTGGGATGGTTAGACAGGTAGGAAACAAACGGTAGGCAGAATTCAAGGTAGTAGGCGGTTGGTCTTTTTTTTTTTTTTAGTATTTATTTTATTTATTTTCCTTATTTTTTATTTTTCTTAGCTGCATTGGGTCTTAGTTGCGGCACACGGGATCTTCGTTGAGGCATGCAGGATCTTTCACTACTTTTCTCTCTAGTTGTGGCGCGCGGGCTCCAGGGCGCGTGGGCTCTGCAGTTTGTGGCACGCGGGCTCGCTCGTTGAGGCGCGCGAGCTCAGTAGTTGTGGCGCGTGGGCTTAGTTGCCCCACGACATATGGGATCTTAGTTCCCAGACCAGGGATCGAAGCCACGGCCCCTGCATTGGAAGGTGGATTCTTTACCACTGGACCACCAGCGAAGTCCCAGGAGGTTGGTTTTAAATGTTCCAAAGAAACCAGGCAAAGAAAGACTGAAAAGTACCTTTTCGGCTGAATATTAAGAAATTCCTGTTAATCTTAAAGAGAAAAGATTCACCTGAATAGTGGCGGCAGAAACTAGATTGCAATGGACTGAGAGGGAAATGAGAAAAGAAGAAAAGGTGATGAGTGGGACCTAATTGTTCAAGAAGCTCCAGCTGTGAGGGAAAAGTATTACAAAGGCTCGTATTTAGAGAGGATATTTAAAGGAAAAGATTTGAGCGTATTTATAAGCAGATGGGATAGAGCTAGTGAACAAGTGAAAGTAAGTAGAAAGGTGAGGATGAAGATCCTTGAGGATGGGGGACATGGGCATGAGCCCCTGCTTTGGCAGGAGGAGGCACAGCCCTCCCTCCGAGAGAACAGGGACCTTTGTTTTGTTCACTGATGAATCCTAAACATCTCTAACATACCTAGCATGCAGTGGGTACCCAAAAAGTATTTATGGAATGAATGCTATTTAAGAGAAAAAATGGGGGCACTTTTTCTGGGGGAGTGTGAGAAAAGTTGAATGAATGAGTCCAGCACATGGCCTTTATATTTCTATAAAGTAGGAGCCACGATCATCGGATAGAAAGAAGGACAAAGACAGGAAAAGAGTGAAGATTTGAGAGAGTCACTGTAGAAAATGGAAAAGAGTGGCTGATAAGAGATAGCTAGTTTTGCTGGGGGATCAGCTATAAACAAATGCCAGACATTTGTAAGGCCACCAAGCCACCTAGTTGTTTCTTTTTCTCCAAGAGGACAGGGTGTGCCACCTGCAAAAGTGGGTGACTAGATGTATTCGGAATTGGAAACGCAGCAACTGTGCCATGTGCACAAAAATGAGGCGCCACCTCCCACTACTTCTACTATGGATACTTATGAACACTGAAAAAGGGGGCACCTTGCACTCAAAACTTACAGAACAGGAACTCACACATTTACTGAATAAATGAAATTTCCTCAAAATTTTTTCTTGAGATGAATACACGTCATGAAACACAGTTTCTTCTTTCGTATTGACTCCTGGCTTGATTTGGCAGGGGTACCATTTAGCCAGTCAAAAAAAAAAAAGAAGGGTATCTTTACATAAAAAAAATATAATGAAGGTCCAATCAATGACTGACCAGTTTGGATAGATTAAAATACTACTTGAATTTTTTTATATCCTAAAAAAAGAACAAACTTACCACGCGTTGAGCTGCTATCAATGCCGCTAATGTACTTCGCCCTGGTGCTCCCGGGGCACAGAAGGAAACTTGAACTTTGCTTCCCTTGATGGTCATACCATCAGCTGTTTGTTGAACCTCTTCGGCGTGCTCCGCAGTGCTGTATTCAACCACCGCAAAGCCACCGACGCGACTACCTTCATCCTGCACAAGCTGATGGGAGACATTTATTAAAAAGGGAATTCTAATATTTAGCTGGAGATACTTATTTACAAGTATGTCATCTAAAAACTCAAGGACAAATGTCTCAGAGCATGACACTGGTGAAAATAATGTATCCTTTCCTTCTGAAAATAAAAGTTTACTAGTTGGGTAGATGTAGTCCTTCTAGAAGATGGGAAAAGTAAGATTCTGTCCGGTTTCTTTTCCCTTCTTTGAATCTCTGATTTATTTTAAAAGTCAATGTTCAAATGATAATAGTCCCTATATATTAAGATATATATATAGCTGATAATTTATAGAAAAATATGGGACACAATAATTAAAACTTTCTTTAAAATAAATTCACCAGATACACAGACGATGAAACATGCTGAACAATTACTGGATCATATATCTATGTAAAATAACATTTGCATTATCAAGAGAAGAAAGGTACAAGGAACCACATTCAAAGTTTATTTCAATATTTTAGGCAGATCCCAGGAATTTGGTCAAGTATACCAAAGCAAACCTTATTTAGGAAAACTGTGCCCCAGGTTTGTTTAAAATACCATATTCAGGACAAAACCTTTTTCTGAATGTGCCCTAAATAAACTCCTGCAATGCAGAACTCAATTTATTTCCAGTCACCCACCTGTAAGAGTGTAAAAGAAGATACTAAAGTCCTGGATCTGTAAAGACTGGTACAAAGAGCAAAAGTAAGAACAAAATAAGACACTAAAAAGTTTCTAGAGCAAAAGTAAGAACAAAATAAGACACTAAAAATTCCTAAGTGTTGAACATGTCTGAATCATCTTAAACACACTGATGCTATAAAGTGATAAATGTGATAAAATTCAGCTTCGTATGTCTTTGAGAAGACACATCTACAATACTTCTATTTGAATTTGGCATCCCATAAATTGATACTACAATTAAATCATTTTCCAGTCCTTTTTAGTTTCTTTTCTTATTTTTGAAGCTTTTTGTGTAGTAGACCGAACTTCTATTTTTTCTTCACATTCTTCCTTCCTTTTAAAACTGCCCTCAAATATTTTTTTCCTCCATAAAACTTCTTCCATTTGCATGGGAGAAAGGAAAAATATCTACCTCTTCCAAACATTTCTCCTACAACCTCATTCCTTTTAACCAAACCAAATCTCAAAATCAGATTTGTAGAAGCCATTAGTCCCACTGGTCCCTTCTGACCACGAGGTAAGAAGACTGTGTCTTCCATATAGTCTATGTCAACCTACCAAGCGAGAGAGCCTGAGTTTAACAGATCTACTGATAAAGGCATTGTAAAGTGGCTTTAGTAACCTTTTGAAAACTTTTAAAATATTTTTATTATTCCTGGTTCATTATAACCTTCATGCCAAATAAATGACACTATCATTTTAAGTCTTTCAAAAGACAAAGTCATTTTAATTCCATAGCGTCAGCAGTTTTAAAGAAGAATATTTACATTCAGTATGAGAGCCATTTAAATATGTAATGGCCTGACTTGTGATCTAGTGAATTTTCCATTATTTTGAAATATTTTAACAGAAGCTAAATGATCACTCACAATTATTGTAATGTTTTGATTTTTTTTTACCAGATGGAAAGCTAGACTAGATAACCTCTCAGTTGTATACAGTATATATTTTTGCCTATTTAGTAGAATATATTTAATTTTACTCAAAGTGCTTGAAAATTCTTACCAGTGTTGTCAGTTTTCAGGATCTTCTCTAAATGTCTCATTACCATGACCCCATTAAGATAGAATAACGCATTCTTTTTACACCTCCTAACACTTTTCTATTTTCCATCGTATCAGTCTTCATACAGGATTTACAATTATCTGCTTACTTGTCAGTCTCTTCCACAAACTTGTGCGGTATTAAGAGAGTATCTTTCTATTCTCTACATTTCCGACATTTAGCAATATAGTGTCTGGCACTGAGAAGGTGATAAACAAAATGTGGATGGATAAAGGGATCAATGCATGAATGGTTCAAGAGTGGATGGAATGAGAAGGTGGATGTGTTAAGTGATGGGTTTGCTAAGACACAATTATATAAAGACAATATAGTTTGGCCCATCAATAAAAGGGACTGATTTAAAATTTACCATCATATGAATTGGGAGATTGGGACTGACATATATACACTAACATGTATAAAATGGATAACTAATAAGAACCTGCTATATAAAAAAATAAAATTCAAAAATAAATACAAAAATAAAATAAAATTTACCAAAATAAATAAATAAATAAAATTTACCATCATATTAAAGTGTTCATTACAGACTCAATTAGAATTAGATTATCCATTGTGATATTTACATAGGTATAATAAATACTTGAGTGCATGCAGATACATATGCAGGCATTTTAAAATATTGCAAATGATGACTTAAAAATACATACCTGGCAAAACACAGGTTTATGGATACTGGAAAAGAACTGCAACAGCTCCTCTGAATCCCTGTAGTCACTAGGGAGTTTATCTATACAAAGGCACTTAGAATGAATGAGCTCTGCGGCCAAGAGATTAACATCCATCCACTGTGCAAAGACAGCTGATGCTCCCAACTGTTTACCCAATAGCTCCAATCTAGCCTTTGCAGCAAAGTCCTTTTTCATGTATTCCACAAATCCATAGCCTTTGGAATGGCCAGTAACTTCACTGTAGACCAGAAAACATCTCTCGACATTTCCATAAGCACGAACAAGTTCTTCAAACTCTTCTAACGTAAAAGAAGTGGGCAAGTTGGTAACACATAGCAAAGCATCTGTTGGCTGGAGCTGGACTATTAAGTCTTTTCCTCGAAATGAATGTTGATGAAACATCTGAATTGCATTCTGGGCTTGTTCTCCATTCAATAATGTAACAAAAGCTGCAAGAAGATAAAATGAACGAGAGTTTTCTGAGCCAGTGTTTACAAGCTTTTCTGACCATGACCCACAGTAAGGAAATACATTTTATACCTGTGCCTCAGTATATACATACATATATATATTTCCGAAACAAAAGTATCAGGCGATAACACTTCTATCATGTGCAATGCACTCTGATATTTTCTATTCTATTTCATTATTTTTAAATGCTGACACCCTCACTTAACTAATTTCATGACCAGTAACTCAAACAGTATACAAATTATATTAGGAGCTCCACTCTAAGATACCACAATATTCTGGGGGTGGGGTGGGGTGGGGTGGGTAATCTTTTCAAACTACATACAGACTTGATATTTTTCCTCAGTTAACACGTGATGCAAAATTTTATGAACTTTTATTTCTTCTCAGAGAGTTCTAAAAGACCCTATTTGATAACAAGAACCTAAAAAACAAGGGCAGAGCAAAAAGACACCAAAATGCCCAGAGGAAGACAATTCTCCAATTCATGTATATGTTTCCTTAAAATAAAATTAATTACATTGAAACAACAAACACACACACACACAATTTGGTATGCTTTTTGGATGAACAATATGGTATGAAAAGATCACAGGATTATTATGATATTGACAAGTAGCTTAACTTTGAATCTTTGGTAAAACAAATCCCCCCAAAATTAAAAAATCTGTCCTGTCTACCTAATGAAGCTGTTCCAGCATTAAGCAACAAATACACATGACAATTTGTAAAATCTAAAACATGATACAATTATAAAGTTCTAAATCAATGAAATATCACACAGACATGCGTATCCGGTAAGATTTTTGAGCAATATTATATGAAAAATTTAAAACCCCAAATAAAAGAAACAACACAGGACAAACCACAAACACACTGCTCTCTCAACCTTCCTACCTCTCCCTCTTCTCTCCCGCTCTGGAACACACAGTGGAGTTGCTCCATATGAGCAGCTAACTTACCCAAATTCAATGATAACAACATGGCAAATATGTACAAAGCAAGAGAGAAAGAAGAATTTAAACAGTGTGGACAATCCTGCCTGTCATTTCACTCAATCTGCTCTTCCCTCAGCTGGTCTTAGTGCCCACGCAGCTCTCAGACTGAGCATCTCACCACACTTTAACATTTAAAGGAACACATTTTTCATTTAACATGATCTCCACATACAAGGAAACTACTTACAAAGGAATAGCTAACTCTTCCAACACTAAGGGGGAAAAATGGCTTTGCTCCACTTATTGAGAGAATATCTCTTGGTTTCCAATAAACCCTTTTAAAGAACTTGAGTTACTTTGATTTTATGCCTTTCTTCCCTTATGCTGACACAGAATACCATTTAATGATATTTTGCTAAAACCAGCAAACAAGCCAACAACAATTTGTAAATACTGGTTATGTTTCCTATACCAGCTCATAAGCTCATCAGCTCATGTTTGATCTGAATTCTCTGGGTATTTGAAACCGTTAACCATTCCCTTCCTTAACTTCCTTGATAAAGTCCTTCCTGATTTTCTTCATACCTGTCCAAGCGCTCCTTCTTCCATTTCCTTTGCTAGATTTGTCTCCACTCACACCACTGACAACTGTAAGGTGGTAATCCTTTCTTTTTTATCGGGGTAGAGTTGTTTTACAATGTTGTGTTAGTTTCTACTGTACAGCGAAGCGGAGTTCCCTGTGCTATACAGCAGGTTCTTATTAGTTACCTATTTTATACATATTAGTGTATATATGTCAGTCCCAATCTCCCAATTCATCCCACCTTACCCCTCCCACTTTCCCCCCTTGGTGTCCATACGTTTGTTCTCTACATCTGTGCCTGTTTCTGCCCTGCAAACCGGTTCATCTGTACCATTTTTCTAGATTCCACATATATGCGTTAATATATGATACTTGTTTTTCTCTTTCTGACTTACTTCACTCTGTATGACAGTCTCTAGGTCCATCCACGTCTCTACAAATGACCCAGTTTCGTTTCTTTTTATGGCTGAGTAATATTCCATTGTATACACGTATGTAAGGTGGTAATCCTTAAGGTTGCTTCTTGGCAGAGTCACACACAGTGACAGCCATATGACTGTGCCCAGCAGCCCTGAGCCATCAACCTCTCTTCTCTATGCCCTCTTCCCCTGGGCACTCATGTCCATGCCCATTTATTCAGTCTCATGTACCAGGTACTGTGTTGGGCACTGGAAAGGAGTTGGTGAACAAAACAAATAAGATCCCTTTCAACAAGGACCTCACAATCCAATAGAGGATGATAGAGATTTGACAGAGTTTACAAGTGTAATGTTATCAAAGAGGAAGTATGAGGGCTATGGAAGCAATTAAACAGAGCAAAATGGCTAGGCTGGGGGCTCCCAGAAAGCCTCCTATACCCTGTTAACTCTTAAATCTATGTTTCTAGTCCTCAGTTCCACATATATCCACGTACTTATTCACACATGACCAAACATAACTCACAATCTTCATCCTCTCCCTGCCATTCCACTAAAATCCCAACATTGTTCAGTTTCCTTTATTCTCTATTTCAGTTGCTAGCATCACAACGCACAAATCAGAAACCTGGGAGTTACCCTAGACCCTATCTCCTTTAACTCCCACATAAAAGGAATCCTCAAATTCTACCCTCCAAATAGGTCTTGAATTCATCCTCTTTTCTTCATTCTTCTAGCTTTTTTTCTTTTTCCACAATGACAATAAAGCGATCTCTCAAAAACAAAAGTTTAATTGTGCCTGTTTACTGCCTAAAATGCAATCATTTGGTATCACCAATGAAGCCAAGCCTCAGCGCAGTTATCATGTCCTACCAGGCCACTTTTTTTTTTTTACCATGATCAAGTTTGGTTTATTTCAGGAATGCAAAATTAGTTTTATTTTAAAATAGCAATCAAGGGTATATGGGGACACGTGCACACACACAGCCAATTCACCCTGTCACACAGCAGAAACCAACACAACACTGCAAAGCAACCACACTCCAACAACGATGTAAAAATAAATAAATGAATAAATAAAATAGCAATCAATAAGTCGCCACATTACCAGCACAGAAAAGAAAAATCACAGAGTATCTTAGTAGATGCAAGAAAAGATATGTGATAAAATTCAAAGTCCATGCAGGATAAAAATTCTTGGCAATCAGTGGAAAAGAAGGAAACATCCTTTATCTGTTAAAGAATGTCTATAAGGAACCTACATCAAAATTAACGGTGAAAGCCAAAACCATTTACTCTGAGATAGGGAATAAGATAAGGGCTCTTGTCTCACTAGTTTTATTAACATGGAATGAAGGTCTTTGCCAGTGCAGTAGGACAAATGCAAGAAGTAAAAGACACAAGGGTTAAGAGGAGAGAAATAAAGCCTGTGTGAATGATACGTTTGAGTGTGTAAAAAATTCAAACGAACCCAACAAAGAATTAGAATATGTAAGTTTACCCAGGTTGCCTACCAGGCCCTTTTGATCTGACACCAGCCTCAGTAACTGCCACACTTCCCTTCCCCACCACATTTCTTTATCCTCTAACGACACTGAGTTGTTTGTAGCTCCCTAGACCGCAACTTGTTTCAAGCATCTATATGTTACACATGTAATTCCCCTGCCTACGAGATCTCTCCCAATATCTTCAGCCACTCAAACCTTTTAGTTGGCTTTCAAATCCAGCCCAGAGGGTAATGCATCAGGATCTCCAGGAAGCATTCCCTGATGTTCTCTGCCAGTTAGAGTTAACCCTTGTTTTATTATACCTCTGTATTTTGAACATTGAATGGATTATTGCACACATCACACTTTATTATAATCTATTTGTTTAGATGCCTGCTATCCTATCAACTGTGAGCTCCCTAAATTGCTAATGAATATATCTCCATCAGCTACCATAGTGCCAGGCACACAGTAGAGGATCTGTAAGTGTCAACTGAATGGATGAATGTATACATGCATAGAATAACTAGTACGTTTTAAAACTGACAACTTCTTATTTTCCTTCCCTCAGGTATCTGCATTTGCACAACCCAAATAAGACATTTGATGGTAGAATTTAGATAACATAATGAAGCAAATTTAAAAGTCCAGGCAGTAGGAAAAAGAGGTCATTGATTCTCTTCTATAGCTTCTTCCACTTCTTTGCAAGGCCATAAATTCTCTAAAAAAAATGTCCAATTTTCTCACATTGACTCTGTGGAAGTGAAAGATGTCACTCTACAGAGAAAAGGCTATAAGGGATTTGGAGATGAGTTCTGTTTCCATTTTCCTACCAAAATTTTAATATTCGACGATTGGTCCCAATCCTTTCACAAGTCACAATTTTATTTATCCTTTTGCCATTGCTTGCTCCATTAGTTTATTATTGGGACAAATTTGATGGCAAGCATGCAAAAACTTTTTTCCTTAATGTATCCTATTTTAATACAATTATTTCTTCTTATTTATAACAGAGAGCTCTGGTTTTAAGGTCACAGTTTATAACTGTAGCCATCCTTTATTAATCTATTAATTATTATCTGTTTCTTCAAACACCACCATAGCTCCTGAAATCCAAGGCAATGTCATTTAATACAATTACTGAGTTTCTTCGTTGTATTATTCTAGTGGGTGATTTTGGCTTTGTAGTATACATCTTTAACTTAACAGTTACCATGAAGTGATACTGGTCTCTTTGTCTATAATCTAAAAACTTTACAACAGTGTACTTCCATTCCTCCCCTCCCAACCTTTGTATTGTTGCCATGCATTTTATTCCTACATGTGTTATAACCTCTACAATATAGTGTTATTATTTTCACTTTAAACAATTATCTTTTAGAGATCTGAATATTAATAAAACAGTCTTTACACACATAAAGACAACATCTGGTATTCTTCACTTTTTTGTGTAGATCCAGATTTCCATCCAGCATCATTTTCTCCGTGCTTTATTAAAGGACTTCTTTAAATACTTCTTATAATGCAGGTCTGATGGTGATGAATTCTTTCAGC